AGAGAGAGAAAGGGAAAGTGAGAAAGCAAGCCACCAGGTCCAGGACTCAAACCGTGGTGGCTATGTGAGAATCCAGCGCCTTTGACTACCGCATTACCTGCTGGCCCCCCAGAGCCCACATCTTAACTCACCAGCCCAGGGAGCAAATTAAACACCCTTTCTGATATTGTGTTTAACTTCACAAGAATCTTATCATATTTCTTTCCAGAATCCTTAGAGACCAACACAAGGACTATTTGCTTTCTGGAGCAAGAATCCCAATCTCATTGCATGAGGTGCAGGCTTTGTGCACTGACTGCTCTGCCACAGATGCAGGAAGATGACACCCAGAATCAGAGATTATGCCTGTGCGTGAGCCTCCCAGCTATGTGTGCCATTCATCACTTAAAACACACTTGAAATCGGGTGCCTATGACTGATTTGTTTTCTCCAGAGTAAATCCTATAACTGGTGTGTCAAGGGGAAGTACCTGTCTCTGAGTCACTTTATTATTCTCCTGTGTTTGTTTCCTGCAGTGTAAGAGTTCAATACATAGGGCCCGCCCGATGGTGTGGTGGTTAAGGGTGCTGGACTCCCACATGGCTGACCACAGTTCAAGTCCCAGACGTGGCAGCTTGCTTTCTCACTTTCTCTCTCATTCTCGTCAAGCTATAAGAGACAAATTAAATAAATAAAATAAAATAAGTTAAATAAAATAATTCTTAAAAAAAAAAAAGAGTTCAATATATGGCCAGACAGTTGGTGGGAGGTGCCCAGGGGCCTCCTCAGTGAAAGAGAACAGAGGGGCAGGGACCAACCCACTCATTTCTGTGGTCTATAGCATCATTTATACAACAAGAGAGAGTTATAAAGCTTTCTTTTTTCTTTTTTTTTTTTCAAGGCTGCAGGGAAAGTGGATGAATTTTAAACCCTTAGCTATTTTAAGTAAAGAAAAAGATGCATCTTTGGAAATAGTAGCTATCTAGATGTCACAGTTACTTTTTTATGTGGTATGTGTATCTTGGGGTTGTATTATTTTAGGCAGTGTCTCATTATGTCACTATCCTCCTGCCTCAGCCTCCAGAGTAGCTAGGACCATGGGCACATGGCACCATGCCAGACTCTTTCTCATAGGGTCTGTATTAAACTATCAAAGGCCTCAAATAACTAAACTAGTCTTGAACAAGAAGATCAAAGCTGGAGACATCACACATCTGGACTTCTCACTATGTTTCAAATTATATTACAAAGCTACAGTAATCTAAACAGTATGGTACTGGAATTAACACAGATACTTACATCAACGGAACAGAATAGAGCCAAGAAGTAAACCCATGCATATATTGCTAACTAATCTTTGACAAAGTTACCAAGAATACACAATGGGAGAAAGGACAGCATCTTCAATAAATGGAAAAACTGGATACCCACATGCAAAAGAATGAAATTGGAAACTTCTCTTACACCACATACAAAAACCAGCTAAAACTTAAAAAAGACTTAAATGTAAAATCTAAAACTGCAGAAGTGAGAAGTTTAAAACTGCATACACACACACATACACACAAGCACTGAACTATTACTCAGTCTTAAAAAAGAAGGAAACTCTGCTATTTGCAACAGCATGGATAAGCCTTAAGGACATGATGTTAAGCTGAAGTCACACACAGAATGACCAGAACTGTATTACCTCACAGATATATGGATTTTTAGAATGTCGAACTCATATAAACAGAGTAGAAGAGTAAATACCAGGGCTGAAGGATGGGGAAGTGGAGAGATGTTGGTCAAAGGGCACAAGATGATAAATTCTGGAGACCTGATGTACAGCATAGTGACTACAATTAATAATCGTGTACTTGAAATTTGCCAAGAGAGTAGATCTTACATGTTCTCACCACACACACATACCAACGTAGGTATGTGAGTTGATTAGTATGTTAATTAGCTGAATTATTATTATTTAACATATATACATACATTAACACATCGAGTTGTACACATTAAATATATACAATTTTTATTTGCCAATCATACCTCCATAAAGCTGGGAAAAAAAGAATAAAGACTATTAATACTGAGTGCCCCACCCAAAAAAATCTCATGTGATTGATCTGGGGTGGGACCTAGCATGGGTAGTTCAGGATGTGGGGGAAGAAGCGAACTTACTGGAAAGTGTTTGCAAGACAGTGTAATATCTTGGTTCTGGACAGTGGTGCAGTGGTAGAATATGGCAGTCTACAAGGCTGATCTAAGCAGGAGAATCCAGGTTTGCATGAGAGACCTCTCTGGGTATGCTGAACACAAATGTGCCTGTTTTCTGGGGCTGGCTGAGTCTGCATGCAGATTACAGTGTTGAGACTCTCTTGTGGATGCTTTCCTCTCTGTTTTTCTCACTCATGGAAAAAATAAATAAATTTATAAAACAGTATAATATCCATACAGTGATATGTACAAATCTTAAGTACTCAGCTTTATTAATTTTTTCAAATGAATACCCTTGAAAAATTCCACTGGGATCAAGATAGAGAACATCAAAACTATAAAAACCTTAGCACAGAATTTTAAAAAATTAAATTAAAAAAATTGAAACTCTTTAAGTTGCAAGTCTAACAATGAACTCAGCAAGGGCATTTTTAAAGATCTTTCCTGTTGATTCTAATTTGCAGACAGGACTGATTGAAATAATTTGTTGTTTTTGCCACACTTCTGGCCATGGGAAGCCTTCCATAAACATGGGCATACGGCTTTAATATTCTTGGTTACTGATTTCCTAACCAACTCATTATTTCTTAAGGTGCCATCAACATAAAAATTAATGTCAGCCTCAGACATTTACTGCTGTTGTGTTGTGATTGTTTTTGTAACTTCTCATGCATTGCTTGTGACAATCTTCCCTCACCCCAGTTATAAATAGGTTGTTAGTCTTTTTTTCTACAAATAAGAAATAGCTAATGTGTGCGTTGAAAGAGTAATAGTGAGGATTATGCTTATTCTTTCTGGGTCAGTCACTGATGGAAGGCAAGGCAAGATAAAAAATCTGGAACCATCCACAGTTGTTAAGGGCAAGGCTGTGTGAAAGGCGGGGTCCATGGAACTGAATCATTCGAAAAAACAAACCCCCCCCCCCAAAAAAGATCATGCCCAGACAGGGTGGACACATGCAGACTGCAAGGCCAATGTGAGTTATGAGTTTGGGAAGGAAGGCCAGCAGGTAAAATTCTGAGTGTTGTGGTGGGAAAGGAGGACCAGGAAGAGGCTGCAATAAGCCCAGGGAACCAGTGTGCCACGGAGAGCAAGGGTGGGTGGGGCCAAGGAACTGTGCCGTCATGAGGCCATGACAGAACGAGGCTGGCCAGGACAGGGGCTAATATGTAACCCAGAGATCGAGAGAGGAGAGAGAAAAGCAGCCCTCCAGCTGCCATGTAAAGTTGCCAGGTTGAGCCTTGCATGAGTACTTGGCAGAGATGGTGAGTGGGGCTGCAATGGTGTCGTTCTGGAGGAGCACCTTACCCTAAGATGCACAAAGGCTGCATGTGGACCGACACACGGCGGCTCTGGGAGCGGGAGGGGCTAAAGGGAGACTGAGCAAGCTCTGCATTTCCTTTTTGCCTCCTTAAACATAGATCCCATGAAGCACCCAGCAAGCCCGATGAATGAATTAGATACTACTCTACAGAGCAAGGTTCTGAGGGTGCCGAGGGCCTTAGGTCCCAGATGAAGAAGGGAAGTGGGGGTGGGAAGAGTGCAGATGGGAGTAGGGGAGAATGTGATAAGTTCTGTGAAAAAGTTCTGTGAAAACCGAAGTTGTATTTAACCAGAATTGATAGTACAAAGGACACACAAAAAAAGCAGTGGCTTTAAAAACAGCAAAATGCTGGGGCTGGCAGGTGGCATTGGTAGTTAAGAACGCTGGACTCCCATATAGCCATGGTTTGCGTTCTGGTGTAGGCAGCTTGCTTTCTCACTTTCTCTCTCTTTCTGTCTCTCACTCTGACTCTCTCTGGTCAAATTAAATAAATAAAATTAAGTTAAATAAAATATTTTTAAAAACCAGCAAAATACAATAGCATACTTTGATATTATGGTTTATGATATGAAATGTGTGTATTTTAGTCCTCATTCCCCTCCCACATTCATGACACAGAGCTCCTAATCCCTTGGAATTTCCTGGGTGATCTCTAATGAGATAACTCTTGGTAGGCTACTGAATGAGGGTCTATTCACCAGTAAGGCCAAGCCATGATGAGAAGCTTGGAAATCACAGCTCAACTCCCACATCCTCTGGGAATGGAAGGGGAGCTGGAGATTGAATTAATAATTAATCGTGCATATATAAGAAGCCTCTACAAAGATCCCTGAACTATGGGGTTTGGATGTATGGGAATGCTAGGAGGGTGGGGAGCCCCACCCTTCCTATGCACGTTGCCCTATATATGTCTTTATCTGGTGGTTCATCTGTATCCTTTATAATACACTTCATAATAAAATCATAAATGTAAGTTAAGCATTTCTCTGAGTTCTGTAAGCCATTCCAGCAAATGCTCAAACTTGAAGGTGGGAGTCATGGGAACTCTGAATTTATAGTTGATCGATCAGAAGTTCTAGGGTCCTAGACTTATAATTGACATCTGAAGGAGTGGGAAGGGGTTCTAGACTCAGATAGTTAGTGTTGGAATTTAGTTAAATTGTAGGACATCCAGCCACTGGATAATTGGTTAATAGGGAGAAATGCTCTCACATATTTTGACAACCACAAGTGTTGAAAGAACACAGTACAGGAAAATAGGCCCCCTCCCCATTATATTCATTTATCTGAAGGGACATTTGACACACTCTTACCTTACATGAGCTCTGCAGAGAGGGAGAAAATAAACAAGTCAAATCTCTTGGACACCATGAAAGGTAGAAACAGAATGATAACAGTGTTTGTTTTCAAAACAGCACTTAAGAGAGGAGGAAGATGAACTGGAGGCTAAGGCCAAACGAGGTGACATGACTGCCCAAGACCAGCCTCTTACCGTAGTGTGGGATGATGGCCCAGGCCATGGCAGAGGCGTAGATGCCGCCGATCATCCAGAACATGCACAGCCAGCTTAGATGCTCACCCCGCTTCTCCCGGGCCAGCACTTCAGCAAAGTAAGAGAATACGGTGGGAATGGCTCCTCCAATCCTGTCAAGAAGTACAGAGATGCATGAAATTAGAAACTAAACAGGTAATAAATGCAAAGAGCAGAATATAAAAAGTCTCTAGTACCACATGCTCTCTTTCTATCCCAGCATATCAAGAAATGTGTGTTTTCTCATTTAAAAAATTTAAAATTATAGTCTTCATGTTTAATATAGGTTTATCCTCACTTCAAAAACTTGAACCTGCAATTAAGCCATGTTACCAGAAGGTGGCAGTTTCTCCCTTCTCATGTAGTTAACAGCTCTGGGTTTGAAATTTTAATTTTTGTTCAGTGTTGAATGTTCTACATTATATTTATTAAGAATTACAATAATTTGGTATAATCTACTGAATATTTTAGTTAAGTCTTTCTGGGGGAATAAAGGACATTGCGTTATGTCCTACTTATGATATGAGGACTTTAGAAACAGCTTCAGACACCTCAGGGAATGTCTGCAGTCTATACTTGTCAGTGTTACCCCACAGCAACTGGTCCTGCAGCCTAATCAGGACAATACGTGGACAAACAGTACCAATGGGGTCACTTCTTGGATCAGCTCTAGTCTCAATCCAGTAGATATTGTCATGAAATAAGGACACATGAAAGGGCAAAATCAATAAGGAACTGGTGGTTCAGGTACTAAAATAATGCAGCACAGCAATCCATTCCAGTAGGGGCAGTAATAAGAGTTACTGTCTTAGCTCAGCATGGGATGGGGAGGGATGACACAAATAGCAACCTCTACTCACGTTAAGAGTTCTCAAGTAAGAGTCTAAGGGACTAAGATGGAGTTCATTCTAGAGAGATGGGACAGAAATTTTACCAGAATTTCAAAAAGGTCTTCACCCTAAAACGTTAAGAACTACTTCCTCAGAAGGGAAGATAGTACAGGAAAGTATTAACTATCATTCTAAACAGTATGTGAATCAGAAATTTTTTTAAAAAGATGAATAACATAAGTAAACTTTCCAGATAATCTAACCATTAAGTATGCTCTGGGGACCAGCAGATGGCATAATGGTTACGTCGCTGGACTACCACATAGTCAAACGCAGTTTGAGTCCTGGACCAGCAGCTTAAAATTCACGCCAGGCACATGTGCGTGCATGCCCCAAATTGCAAGAGGAGAATGAAGAAGGGATTGCAGGGTGACCATCCTTCCTGGGGAGTGATTTCTCATTCTCTGTCTCTCTTTGTCTCTCTTGTGAGCACATGTGCCCTATAGCAAAAAAAAAAAAAAAAAAAAGGCATGTGTTGATTAGTTTATGTTCAGTTTCTGTGAAGTAAATAAATTGCAATTGGCATTACATGCAAATTTGATGTCAAAGAGTAAACTGTGCTTATTCATTTAGCAATAATTGATGTTCCTAGAGCCTTTGATATGATAAAGAAGTACTGACAGTGACCTTAGCAAATGCAATTTAGGAAAAGGCCATTTTCGCAGCAAACTGGATGTACCAAGTGAACCACAGTATTTATAATGTCATCCTGCAACTGGTAGGTCAAAATATGGCACCATTTCAGGTGTTTGTCCCTGATTAAAATGATACTAAAGCTACTCTTGGTGGGTATGGGCAGACCACTTAGGCCAATGCTTTTAAACTGTGGGATGCAAAATTAGTCTAGTATCTGTAAACAGCATTTTTTCTTTTTTTACTGTTCACAGTATTTATTTATCAAGAGAAACTATTCTTTAGCCCATATATTCATGCTTCATATTTCAGGAACATAGCCCCAATCCAATGACATTCTTTACATTCCAAAATCACTTTTTTACTCTGAAAGATACCAGCCTTCTTCATCTCTTCAAAATCTTTCATGGAATCATAATTTTTGCAGAAAACTGCATCTGTCTTATTTCTTGGTTCAGCTACAGTAAACTTATAGAAAACTAAACAGCATTTTAAAAAGTTACATAGAGATTAAAAGACTTGAGTGTAACCCAAGTAACAAAGAAAAGCCTTAAGTATCATTTCATGAAACTTACTTGTGTTATAAACTTCTTTGTAACGTATAAGATACATATATATGTTGTATCTTGTGTCACATTGTTTCTTAGTGAGATATCCAAAGAGTTTTAAAATCACAAAATTAAAGCATCTATTGATATATTTGTTTGCCTGGGCAATGAATGCGATGCCTCTACTTAAAATCGCTGGAGTATGACTCCACGGGTGTGTAGATGAAGCACAGGGTGACTTAGCACCATTATACACAGAGGCAGCCAAGTAGGTTTGAGCCCATCAGCCAGGCACTCAGCAAGAAACAAACTCATGTGAGGGGCAGTCAGAGCTGGCTTTATGCCACATTGTATTAGACTGCATGGGCTAATATGGAGACAGAGAGCTCAATGAACTTAAAAATGTAACAATATTTTGAACAGATTTTAAATGGTTTCATTATAACACACAATTTTAGTGGGAAATGAAATGTCTGTGTCACAAATCATTTAACACTACTCCTTTTTTCATTTGATGGGAAGAATCTGTTTCTCTGCACCATAAAGTCCCAGGTCCCTTATCTGTGGCTTCACTTTTCAATGCATAAAATGAGTCTCAGTTGTTACTGACTTTTCACATCCTAATTAATGTCTCATCAGGATTCTGAACATTCTGTATATAAAAGCTATAACTCACACTTCACAAAGGCACACTTGCATGCCAAGGTATACCCGCCACTCTGAACTGAGAGAGATGTGTTCCAGTGTGGCAAAAATTTCAAGTTAAAGCGACAGACTGGCCTGTTAGTCTCAAACAAATCATTGTTGCCTAAGAGAATATCAACTGTTAGGGGTTTACAGGCAATCAAGTTGACTTTGATTCAAATCCTCTTTTTTAAGGTGATTCTTTTTGTATGGATGTCTCTCAGTATCTGCAAAGCAGACTAGAAGGAATTCTCATACCAAAGGATAAATAAATCTAAATAATTAGTGAAGGATTCTATTTAAGTCCTTTGCAAAGTTCTTTAGACTCCAAGATCAATAAAATAATTGAAGCATTCACATTTCTTATTGTGGGTTGATCATCTATTTTTTGGAAAACATTATTTCTCATCTTACTGTGACAGCTTTTAAGGAGAGGAAAGCTATTGCTGCTGTTTTATACTCCATCAGCTTTCTGAAGGTGCGAACGATATTGTATTCACTTTTTATAACCTCATTATGTGGCCCAGTGGAAATGTATTAAGTGTTTACTCAAAAGAACCAAATTTCGCACCCTCCAGTGTTGGAGTCGGCACACTGAGTTTCCTAGAGTAATTTGTTCTGATGACTTAAACATCCCCAATGAATGGAAATATATTCAACTTCCAGGTCAGGATGACTACAAAAGAAGTTGAGGATGCTGGAATGGAAGTTCTTGAGTTGCTCTGTGTCTTAGTTGCTATGGTCACCCATATGCAGAGGCCCTGACATCCTTGTTCTGGAGACAGCTCATGTGGAACTCTGGTCAAGAGGAACTGGGAAATCCCACTGGACATTCCCAGAGGTATAAAATACCCCTGTGTCTTCCAGAAGAATGGTTTAGATGCTAAAATTATTATCAATAATAATATTTCGACAAAAGAGAAAGCAAGAGATTTTATGTCTCATAATATGATGTGGTTCTTAAAAGTGTTAAAGAAAAGGCTGCCTCCCCCCAGCCCTCAAACCTTATAAATGAGAAACAAAACAAGTTTCTCATTACTATTCTACCTGAATATTTTGTGTGAGGGCTAATACATTTCATCTGCTGTTGTTCTTTTGTCGTTTATTGCACTAAGATACAATTTCTGGGAATATATGTAGAGATAAAAAATATTCTCACATTCCAAGTTTGAGTAATTCTTAATAAGGCAGATTTTGCACCCACTCCTGTGGATATTTGTCAGTGTCTGGAGACATTTTTAGTTGTCACAACTCAGAGGTTGCTATTGGCATCAAGGAAGTAGAGGCCAGGATGCTGCTAAACATCCAGTGATGAACAGGACAGCTCCTCACAAAAGAGAATTACCCAGCCCAAAATATTAGTAATCAGGAAATCTCGTAATGGGGATTTAAATGCAGACAGTATAATCATCTTTATATAAAAATTCATGATAAAAGGCATAAAACAGTTACATATTGCATTATCTGATGGGTAATATATCTTTAAATGTAGCTAACATAGAGAGAGTATTGTTCACTATATAACGATTGGTTAGTTACTGTAGAGATCTGTTCACATTCTTTTTTTCAAGTTCATTTTTGATTACATAAATGAAGCAATGTGATCAGAGCAACTAATAATTTTTTGCAGTATTGGATATTAAGTCTATTTTGTTACCTGTCAAAAAAATGCCAAATCTTTATCTTTAATAATAGGCAGCACAGAAAAAATATTAAATGAAATTCACACTCTATAGAAGTAGATTACCTAGGTTCAAAATAACTAAATTTACAGATGAACTGAAATGTTGATATTTGAAATTTCAGAGTTAATGTCATTCTCCAAACAATATTAACTTTAGGTTTTCACAACTTTAATTAAAGAAATATAAATAAACTAAAAAATTCTGTATTGAGATACTTTCTTAGCCCTCTTCCCCTTGCACACATACACACATGAACACACGTGAGTGCAGACACACATGCACACACACACACATACACTGTCTCAGTAGGTCTGCATATGACTATACTAGGCATCTGGTAAATATCATGAAACATATTTATTTTTCTCGATAATCTAAGACAAATTCACAAGAGGGATATTGCGTAAGGCAAAGAATGTGTTAGCTTCACAGACAAAACTCCTCCTCTGCTAGGAAGTAGGAGATACACAAGCTGAATCAGTTTAGCATAGCAGGATGATGGAGCATGCTGAACATGACGGTCTGCTCAGACCTCATTGAGAAACTGGGAAGTCTAACTATCTCAATCCTTGCAAATTTCAAAGCCACACCTTATATGACTCTGCTTCAGGTGGCAACGCAGTCATGAACTCTGTCACTAGACCTGTCATACTGATTTATGCCAGTCACTCAG